AACCCCCAAACTACAACAAATAAGTTTTTTATCCGACATCGATCTTTTAACGTCATCCCTAAGATATATACATTTCTCATTTTTTTTTTTTTTTTTTTTTTTAATTTTGAAATTTTTGGGGTACATATACATATCTAATGCATAATAACTTTTAATACATAAAATTATATAAATTGTGAATTAAAAAAAACATATAATCACATTTAATTAAAAAACAGTAAATCTTCTTTCACATATAAAATTATCATAAATACCTGTGAGCTTGTAATTAAACATGTAAATAGCTAAGAATTTTCTACACACTTTTGGTGATGTTTTTTTTTAATATTAAAAATATGTATGAACCTGTACTGGTATGTTCATAAGTATATTTAATGTAATTTGTTATCATGACAGGCAGTATGATGCAATTATTATACTTTTTTCTTTGAGAGAATGAGAACACACTGTTAATTTATAAGAGTTATGAATGTGTAGTACACTGCATACAAATGAAACGGAAAAGCCTTTCGAAATAAAAAAAAAAAAGTAACACAAGGCTTTTAACATATTCTCTCTCTCCTCCCTGCTGTACTATTTTTATCAGTCTGTGCGAGGCTCTCTGCACAGCCTTTGTGTCGGCGTAAATAGCCCATTGTTATATTTACATTGCTGTTCTCCGTGTCCTTTATGTCTATTTTAAATGTAGTTGCGTTAGAAATTTCCTTGACTCAAACATACATTATATATAGATGAGCACGTTTCTACACTGTGAGGAGGAAGCCAGACATCTTGGATTAGACGTTTTTGTATTTGCAATGGTACGATGAGAACTCGTAAAAGCTGTCACTGCTGAAGCAAACGTAGTACATGTGTGCATTTACTTTATAATCTCGGTTTGTGTGCATCCTTTGTGCTCAGGATTACTGCATCTTTTCAGGGCGACGCATATATATATATATATATATATATATAGTCAGCTGTTGTTTTTGTAATCATTTGCAGTACGTTTGTTTTATACGTACTTCGCTGCATTTAAAACCCAATTGTGGAATGAATTCGCAGACTAAGCGTCATCGTTTGTGAGACTTTTCGTTGGTATTTCTACTGCGAGTATACATATATATCGGAGTAGACGTTAGAAAGCTTCCTGAAATTGGTGTTTATAAAATCGGTGCAGGCACTCAGTCAATGTGGATTATACTACGCAGTAATTACAACAAACGGTGCCACCGCTGATTGAAGGCAGACAACCTAATTCTGGAATATATTCAATGCTTATATCTATCTGAATTTTCATACACGCTAAAAATCAGGTAGCGAGATTTGAAGAGAACTACCGGAAAAATGGATTGTTTATGTTAATGACGGACATCTTTTGAAAATGTGATGATCAAACTAATTTAGATGTAATGAGAACTCTGCTTCATAGGAATGGATGATGTCGATATGCTGTATGTAATCGTTGAAGGATGCGTGACGACCATATAGTCTACAGAAAATAAGAGCTTTCTGCACCTGAACCACCGATTATTTTTGAATATTTTTGTATATTAAGCTAGAAGTGTCTGTGATGGCTCTCTGCTGAGTCAAATATAGACGCATATTGACAAATATTGTAGCGTGTTAACCCTTTGGGACAACAACCTATGATTGGCCAACTCTGTTAGACGTTGATGCATTAATGTACTATTTCATCATGGATTCTCTTCGTATTTGTCATCTCTCTCATTTGTTCACCACCGCAATGCGTTAATTTATGCTGTCTTCATGATATCTGACTAGGAAAAAATACGCTATTACAGAAAGGATCTTGATATTATCAGTTGTATATATATATATATAATTACAATCGTTCAAGTATTTATTCAAAAAAAAATAATGCGTCGGAGTCATTACTACATACGGAAAATGAAGCCCCGGTCGCATTCGCTCGATGTCGGAGCAAGTGGGTGTTCAGGATTCGAACACCTGAGTATTGACAGGGGTGCAGACAGCGATACTGAGGCTGATCAGACCGGAGCTGAAAACTGTAATATTGCGCGGATGCCGCAAAGCTTCAAGTGAGTCAAGTATTCCAATTTACTATCAACATTTTTCGATTTTCCTTAACCAATTTCTTAATCAAATTTTGTCCTTGAATTTATGTTTGTTTTAAATACTAGTGACAGCATTGTTTGTAATGCTACTAAATTAAGATAAACACTTTCTATTTTTCGTCAAAATTTGGGTTTCGAACTCCTACATTAAATGAATGGTTACAGGCCTGGAAAATGTTACAAAATTTTTCAATTGGATAAGTGTTTAAGAATACAGAAATATTACTTCTACTGTTCAATAATTTCCATATTTTTTTTTAAGATCTTGTCTCAAATATTGTAGAAATCACTAACGAATCAGTATGATGATTATCTAAATACAAAAGGTGTAAATAAATGTTAGTACAGAAAATTATTGGTAAAATGTAGCTACTGGGTAATTTCAAACTGTTGAAACCAAATCCTGACTTTGTAAAATTTTTTTTTGTTTTTATTTGATGTATTTGATGCGCTTTTTTCTTAAATTCTTCAATATTTCTGAAAATAAACCCTAATTTTTGAGCCAACAGACACAATTTGAGCCAAATTTTAGTTTTACTCTGAAATATTGGCTATTTTCTGTCCCATAATTATGCATTTTCAAAATAAACATGCAAAAATTATTTTCATATTTTTACAAAAATTTCGATCAAGATTTGTGGACAATGGGACAATATGTCCATTTTGGTTCAAAATTAACAAAGAAATTCTGGAAAAATTACGTAAAAATGTTAATATTGTGGTGCTGATGATGGCATTGACAGGGTTACAGACCTGCGTAACAAAGATGGAGTATTACAAAATTCTTCCTAACTCATCCTTTATTCCCTCATACAACAATCTGGCAAATCACTCTCAATATATCCTATATAATATCGATGCAAGTATTCGTAGAGATAGTATAGAAAACCACTTAATGCAGTGTGTCACCATGGTAACAACATCTTCCAGAAATTCCAGAAGTACATACATTAACAGTCAGCCAATGAAATTGAAACTCTAACTGGATCAGCATTATTGTAGTATTAAATGGCTGTGGTCACTGTGTCGCATACAGTTTAATACGGGACTCATATAATGATGTACACATCACGTGTGAATATACATTGTTCACTTAAAATTTCTGAATACAGTCGCCTTTAAGTTGTTGAAACTGAAATAGCAAACAAGAGTAATTGGCATAATTCTCACAATTATCGGTTGGTATTGCCATAATATGCATCTCAATCAGTAGATTGTTCCAATGTGATTAGATTTACGGAAGTTGCTCAACAGAAATGCATACAGTTAATAATAGAATTATTATCTGAATTTAATCATTAATAATTATTCTTCACTAATTAACTTTAATTTGAGAAATTTGACAAAATAAAGATAATCTTATATGGAAATGATTATTACAAAACACGTAAACAGTGTTTGACGGTTTTTGATTTCATTTTATTTCATTTTCAACCTTCTTCTATTATATTATATAACAATATTAATTCTCTCCTCGAGGCATGTACAATGTATATTTTACATCGTTATTATTCATTTCATTGCCTGCCTTATGTTTTGTGATGATATTACAAGTCAGCGGCGTTGAAAGACGTTCATCAAAACTACAATTTTTATAACGGAATAATATGGCTGGATTCTCTGCATTATAGATTTAATTTTTCCACCTTTTTGTCTTTATGTATAAATGGTACTTTACATGGATCTGTATTGTGAACATCTGTTTTATAGTTTGAAAAAAATCCCCCCCCCCAAAAAAAATGCTGCGTATTTTATTTCATATTTACACAAAAGTAATAATCTGGATAATGAAATGCACACCTCCATCAGAAATCCAAAGCATAAACAAATTTACTACGCAGATCCTTGCCTTCAACCATTTTTAACATGGTAACTGGTACTGCCATTTCCCAGATGTACCAGAGTTCCAATGAATAGTATTAGGTAGTAATCTCATTAACTGTGTAATTTGGTTTTCATGGCAACATAAATATATACATGATAATAAGTTATATCAGTTGAAGTCAACCAGATGCAAATTAGATGTAAATCCTCTCCAATCAGATTCAAATCATTTCTGATTACTGGGCCAGGGAAGAAGAAATATTGCTTCTAAGTTTTATAATATGAATAATTATTAATAATTTATGGGTTATTACAAGTATATCGACTGATGTATAGTGTAGGTTGATGCGTTACCATACTGCCTGAGTGCATACTTTGCGGTATCCTTGTGATAACATTTTTCTCTGCTTGTAGTAATAAGTTTATGAGAGATAACAACCAGAAATGGAGTGAAGAATGTTTTGCAATGTGTGAACATTTGTAGTCAGTTAAAGGAATCAATTTCCAACATGTGCAGATAGTGCTTCTATGTCTGAAATAAACAAAAAAAAGTTTTCGAGTGTGACTAAAGCATAACATATAATTAACAAATACGGAAGACATTCAAACAAGTGTGTATAAACAATTTTGAACATGTGTGTAATACTTTTGCACACATGTGTGACATTTTCGAACATTTGTGTAACACTTTCCAACACGTCTGTACATAGTTGTCATGAGTTAAAATTTGAAGGCATATGTGCTTGTGTGATGCAACCTTTAACGGCGGAGCTCATTGGTTGTCTACATAAAATGCCCTCAATTAAATTGTCACAGTGGGTTGCAGAAAAGTCACAATGCATTGCAGCAAATCACAGTGGGTTGCAGAAAAGTCACATGGGTCGCAGCATGTCACAATGGGTTGCAGCAAGTCACAGTGGGTTGCAGCAAGTCACAGTGCAGCAAATCACAGCGAGTTGCACCAAGTCACAGTGGGTTGCAGCAAGTAACAGTGGGTTGCAGCATTTCACAGTGAGTCGCATCAAGTCATAGTGGGTTGCATCAAGTCACAGTCAGTTTCTGCAAATCACAGTCAGTTGCAGCATTTCACAGTGGGTTGCATCAAGTCATAGTGGGTTGCAGCATGTCACAGCGAGTTGCAGCATGTCACAGTGGGTTGCAGCAAGTCACAGTGGCTTGCAGCAAGTCATAGTGGGTTGCAGCAAGTCATAGTGGGTTGCAGCAAGTCACAGTGGGTTGCAGCAAGTCACAGCGAGTTGCAGCAAGTCACAGTGGCTTGCAGC